CACACACACACACACACACACACACACACACACACACACACACACACGCACAAATCAAAAGTGTGATACTGAGGCTGTGCAGAGGTCTCTCCTCTTTTTCATAATTGAAAGTGAGATGTGATCAAAAACAAAAGTCACGGTGGAGTGGGCACATAAAACACCTAGACGGTGCAGAAATGTGCACGTAGTATATGCAGATTTATTTCATGCAGCTATACACAGCCGTCTCTCATGCTGCGTGCACACACACACACACACGCACACACACACACACACACACACACACACACACACACAGAAGTGGTATAGTAGTGCTGACCTGGTGTTATCAGAGTCGATGGAGTGAAACAGCTTCTCCAGCTCTTCCTCGTTCAGCGTGCCATCGGAGAAGAAAGCCTGGAACTCATCCAGAGACAGCTTACCATCATCTGCAGGAGACAGACACACACACACAACTGTGAAATAATTTGCAGTAGGAAGCAACCTTCTTTGTGTATGCCAAAAAACGTAATGTTAGTCAATATTATTATCAGTTTATCGTATCTCCACTGTAACTGCCTGTACTTCTGTCTCAGTCAAACTTTCTGCTTACATCTAACCTTTACTTAATGCGGTCACCATCACTGTTACACAATGCATCAAACCGACTATGAGATCACATGGCCCCAAACCCTGCTTCCTCTCACCTGTTATTTAATCTATTTCAAGGTTTTATTTGTAATTTTTTTAAGCTTGTCTGGGCCTGACAGGGATCTGCACCTCAGACCACTTAACCCTGTAATGTATGAGTCAGACTGAAGCCTCAGATACTTAAAACTGTTCCTCGGTCTGTAACCTAGCACTCTGGTTTCTGAGAGGGCAAAGTCTGTACTATCTCAAATAAATCTATCTTTTCTATACAACTTGTTTGGCTTTAGTCACCCCTATCTTGTTCTAAGTTCATTCTTTTGTAGCCATGGTTGTGAGCATTGTTATTTTTATTCAATCTTGATATTTCCTACATGTCTGCTTTGCTGTACCGTGCTCCCACCCTCACAAGCACACACACATACACAAAGGCTCAGTGTGATCCCAGCCTTCGGTGCTTTCTCTAGCTGCTGTGAAATCAATCCAGCATGCGCCGCAGTCTGCTGCAAACCTTTAGCCGTATCCCTGCTGCCTGTCTGTCCGTCTGTCTCTGCACTTTGCAAAGCACACAAGGCCGATTATGTTTCAAGGCCTTTGGGGAAGCATCGATAAACAACAAGCTCTTGGAAAAAATACTGGATTACTGCTTCTGTTATGTTGACTCGAGCGCTACGAGCCTTTGTTGCCACGGTCCTGTGTTTCCCGGGTGCTTCACTCCCTCAATGTGGTAAAAGAAAGTCCATCTCTGTCGTGTCGTGATCGCTGCTTCCTAAAGACTGCAACACTGTAGAATGATACCTGTACTCTTTTTACTTCATTACAATTAGAGAAAAGTAAATGTTTCAAGCCCTGGTTGACAGTTCTCTGTTTGCACCTATGACCACACCCATCAGTGATGTCACGGTGTACTGGAGCACACTTCTACATCACTGCAGCGGGATGAGAAGTTAAAACACTACAGGTCTGCCTTCTCTCCAATATAATGGGACCACAGGGCACTCGGCTTGTGGTGCTCAAAGCGGCAAAAAAACAACATTTGAATGTATATAATCTCACCAGCAATGTCTCTTTCCAACAAATCATGACCCGGTGACTTAAGATAATATACAGACCTTGTTGTGAGCGGTTTGATGTAGGAACTATTTTCTTTCTACCAAACTACACCCACCAACCGCATCAGCGCACAGAAGAAAGCGTGCATCTACTCATGGACCAGAGGCTTGTGACAGCGAGAGATGTAAACATTACAGCGTCCTCCTCAGCTGGGATGTAACGTTAGCGAGCTCAATGGTGCCAGGTGAGCTAGCAGTGTTGGTTAGCTATCAACTATAAACCTCAGCCTCTCGTCCGGGAGTAGATGCCTGCTTTCTTGTGTGCGGTGATACGGTTGGCGGGTGTAGTTCTGTAGAAAGAAACTAGTTCCCACATGAAAATGCTCACAACAAGGTTTGTGGATTATGTTGAGGAACAGGGTCATTCAAATCTGACATCATTTATCATTAGTAATAGGTTTTTATTCTGCACCTAGATACCGCGGAGTCCTTTTATAACCAATTCAACAACCAACCAACTAACCAAAGCAGTGTGAGCTTTTCTGCGGTAGAGTGGTGGCGATGCAGTAGGGAGTGGCTGTCCATGGCTTTTCACTCCATCCGGCTTGTTTCTGCTTGCTAGGATGCCTGACTGTCTGTCTCACCACATGATGCAGAGCTAGATATCAAATATTAATTCCTTGCCCTCAAAGTGTGTTTGTCCTTGAGTGTGGCTGACTGGATGTAGCAGGTTGAGCTGTGGGACCACTGCAGAGCGCTGGGAGCCCAAAGGGCCAGGAGGACTACAGCCATATAAGAGGGTTGCATTCAAATGCGCTGCTGTTAAGTCTGCCTCATCGATTCCCTCTGCTGGTTCTCAGTTACAGGATTTGGGGCGAGCATATGTTTGTGAAATCTCATTTTATTACCAAGAATCTGTTCATTTTATATTGCCCCTTTCTTTTCTTCTGCTGCTATTTTATTGCCTTGGTTTACTGCCTCTGAGTGTGGCTGACACACATCCAGAAGAGAGACAGAGCTCTCTGGCTTCACATGCTTTTCGAAAACGGACTAACAAACTGTCAAAAAAAAAAACTTCTAGGAACTCCACAACCATAGCTATCCACACTCTTTTAGGCTGTCGTCTCCACCTCACTTCACACCCATCTCCCTATTAGTCTCACCATATTTTTTATCCCCCCCC